CGTAGTGTAGTATAGCATAACAGTGTAGTGTAGTATAACGAAGTGTAGTGTAACGTAGTGTAGTATAGCATAACAGTGTAGTGTAGTGTAGTGTAGTGTAGTATAATGTAGTATAGTATAATGTAGTGTAGTGTAGTATAGTATAATGTAGTATAGTATAATGTAGTGTAGTACTGTATAGTATAGTATAACTTAATCCTTGTTTCGATGTGACGGCTCACATTTAAGTTCTTTTTTTGTTTCAGAGGGAAACGGTTTTGTAAACAAACTGAGCGTTTATGTGAGCAAAACCTCAAAATATCTGCATAAATAATTAGCTGAAGCACCAGCTTCTGCTGGTGTAATAACTCCAAACTTTTACTAATCTGTGTGGGATGACGACAGAACAAAACTTCAGAGTTTTGTTCATAAATGAGTGGTTTGGATCTGAAACCAGCATCTCTGGGCTGTGACTATAAGGGCCGGTTGGTGAAGTAGCTTCAAAGATGAGGATCTCAATTTCCTTGCAACTGGATTCAGTTTGAATTTTAGACGTGTTCAAAACATTTGTCCCAGAATAGTCACAGTCTAGAAGTATTTGTCACTAATGCTTCTTAAACTCACTTAAGTTTTTGTAAATCTTTCAAAGCTAGAGCTGTATTTTGGCATCTACTGAAGCTCCCTTGTCATAGAAAAGCTCAGAGGCTCAAGCCCTGAATATCCAGGTTGGAACCAAGTGTTAATTATCAATAATAACTTGAAAAAATTAAATGTAAATGAAACCATAAACTGTCTGGTTCAAACAGGAGCAGGGAATCACAAAGTTTTCAGTAGAAACAACTGGCAGCTGAAACCCATCATTTACCAAACAAAACCCAAGTTGTGGAGCAGGTTTGAATACGATGAACCGTTTTTTCTGGAGGACACAGGTTCATCAACAGCACGGTTCAAACGAGAGTGAAAATGAGACAAACAACTAAACGTGCACGCACAYGTTGAAATCCTAGTCAGGTTTCAAGCTTGTTGCTGTAGCCAACTTTTCCCTCTTCCTTTTATTTGGTGAGAGCACCAGTGGGAAGTTTCCCTTGATTCAGATTTAATAAAATGTTGCGTATCATGTGACGCCAAAGGCTTGTCATAGAGCCACACTTTTACAACTTTTAGAGCAATAATAAAGAAATACAAACCTCTTGAAGGTGTCCTCTGGGTGTTTCTGACAGTTGTGAGGCTCCAAAGCAGAAGCTACCGATGGCCTGTTGAGGATCTCTTCATACCCAGGAGGAAGAAGAGGGGAGGCCCTCAGCTGCTCCACCAGGCCCAGAACAAACCTCCACAGGACTGTGCTCCGATGATCCTCCCTCTGGCAGAAGTGCGAGGCCAGGCAGCGCTGTGCCAGCCACACTGCCAGGCCAGCCTTGGATGTGGGCCACACCACTTCAGTGCACAGGGCGGTTTTGCCGGCGCCGGGTCCCCCTGTCACCAGCAGGCCCGGAGCTTGGCCGGACAGGATGCGGGGGGCGTCCAGGCACCGGCGCAGCTTCTCCAGGGCCCATTCCCGGCAGTAGAAACGCCGACCCTGGAGCAAGCTGGGACTACCGTCAAATCCACTGCCACTCATTTTTCTCTGGGGTTCAGAGATCCAGGAGATGACTCCATGTTCCTCTGGTACTTTTACCTCTGCTGCAGCTGGTGGACAATAATTGGGTGACTCAGTTCCTGTAATGTTACATCAGGTCTTTAACGATCACCGGATCTGTTTCCGCTGCGATATGATAAGTCAGCTATAGTTGCACTTCATCTTCACCGCTGCTCAGCCTGACGTTCTTGGTGCAGGATAAGAAACACCCTGGTTATCTGTCTTCACCAGGCCTCTCCAGGGGATCGAAGAGCTGCTCTGTCAGGAATCAGAAAGAGACAAGAAGGAGTTTTAGACAAAACACTGACAGCACATTTCTCACACATTTCATTACACTCCAGCTCACCCGTCCTCTGCCATTCTTTTTTTTTTTTCAATTAAAATCACAGACTTTTCTGCTCTTTCAGTATCACCGCTCTTCCTTCAAGCATCAAACCTTATCAGCAACTTTAGCAATAAATTCCCTTTTGCTTTCTCACACCCTCGACTCTGCCTCCTCCCTCGGCTCATTCCTTCTGTCTCACACTCTGTCATGCTCGCCGGTTTTTCTTGTTCTGTGTTTTTTCTTTCCCTTGTCTCCACCCTCTGCTAGTGTGTCTCGGCGTGTTCAGACATGCACAGCAGATCCGTGAGCCTGAGCTGGTCTGCTGGGGCAGTGAGCTCCTCCACAGCCAACAGGTGGGAGGAGACACCTGGGGTCAAGGGTCAGTCACGGGACAGTACTGCACCTCTGTTTCTGTTTCAGGTGATATTTTCATATAAGTTCGAGTTCAGTTTATTTATATAGCGTCAAGTCACAACATACATTGTCTCAGGGCACTGCACATGAAAAGAACAATCTAAAGAAGAAACCAGCAGGTTGCGTTGAATCACTTCATCACAGTCTCCCATCCTGAGCAAACGGTGGTGAGGAAAAACTCCCTGCTAATCAGGAAGAAACCTCCTCCAGCAGAACCAGGCTCAGGACAGGTGGCAACACTAGCTGCATTTTCATTGCAAATGTGCGCAAAACTTTGTTGATATTCTGTTAATGTCGAAAAAACACAGTTTCACAACTGCGGTGTTTCCATTAAGTAAGAAATGCTATTAAAGTCACACGTAAATACATTTGTTCTCACGATAAGTCACTACAAACATGGTGACGATGGATGTAAACACATAGCATGTTGCTACCACGACACTAGCGCTCATCATCAGAGGAGACATCGGCGTCTTTTATCGAGGCTTTCCAGAGACAAGTCCCTACTTGGGAG